TGAATGTCAGAAGAGACTATGAATATTGCACTAGAGCACCAAAAAGGAAAAGCAAATGGAAGAAATAAAGAAGTTAAGGAGGTGAATAAAATATTTCCAAGAGCAGCACAAGAGGACAAAATATTATAATGAAACGTGCAAAGACCTGGAGTCAGAAAATCAAAAGGGCCAAGGTTATTCAGCATTTCTTAAGCTAAAAGAACTAAAGAACTAAAATTGAAGCTAAAATCAACTAAAGAACTAAATTCAAGCTGCGAGTTGCAATGTTTAAGGATGCTATGGGCAGAATATAGAATGATTCAAGAAGCATTAAAAGGAAGTAGTATAGAGAGTAACTGTACCAAAAAGAACTGGCTGACACAGAATTTCAAGAAACAACATATGCAGTGGTGATGAAGGAGGAAGTTCAGGCTGCTCTGAAGGACTTTGCACAAAATAAAGACCCAGGAATTGATGGAATACCAAATGACATAATTCAACAAACAGATATTGTCCTGCTTACCAGGTTGTGCTAAGAAATATGGAGGACAACTACCTGGCAAACTGACAGGAAGAGATTCATATTTATTTCTATTCCAAAAAAAAGATGACCCCAAAGAGTATAGAAATTACCAAACAATATCACTAATACCACACACAAGGAAGATCCTGTTCAAGATTATCCAAAAATGACCGGAACAGTATATCGACAGAGAACTATGAGCTGGGTTTAGAAGAGGCACTAAAGACATTACTCCCAATGTCAGATGGATCTTGGCAGAAAGCAAAGAGTACCAGAGGAATGTCTGTGTTTCGTTGACTATGCAAAGGCATTTGACTGTGCTTATGTGAAACTCATACTTGGATCAGGAAGCAGACCTCAGAACAGAGCAAGGAAACACTGCATGGTTCCAACTCAGGACAGAAGTGTGTCAGGGATATATGCTGTCTCCATAGCTTTTCAATCTATATGCAGAACGAATCATATGGAAACTGGGCTTTAGGAGGAGGAATGTGGCATCAAGATTGGAGGAAGACTCTTAAACAACCTGTGCTATGCAGATGATACAACCTTGCTTGTTGAAACTAAGGAGGACATCAAATGCTTGCTGCCAAAGGTCAGGGAATATATTCTTCAATATGGATTGAAGCTAAACATTAAGAAGACAAAGTATTTCACCACTGGGTCAACCGGCAATACCATAATGAATGGAGAGGAGATTGAGATTGTTAACAATTTCAGCTTGCTCAGCTCTACAATCAA